AAGCTCGCGTTATCCTGAAGCGAGGAACAGGCTGAGGACCTCCCACGGAGTCATAGATATAGCGGGCGTGGGTATTTCTTCATTACGAGATTTGTCGTGGCGCCTGCGGCGCCTAGCGGCGACGCCGCGCACCACTCTCGTCACGTGGCGGGCGCGCGCGGGCTCGGCGCGCGTGCATTAATGTAAGCGTACCGCTACAATATATATATATATATATATATATATATAATATATATATACGACCATATATAGATACACTAATCATTGTTTTTTTGCTGCTGTAATTTCCGACTAAACCTAATTGTGTCTAGATTCTTACATTTGCGCCAGATCTCGTGCTAATCTATCACGAAATCTAATACCTTTTTGGATATTTACGTTAGCCCTTTTATCTTCATCATTTACATTATTCTCTATATTTTCGTTATTATTCTCGAACATGAAAGCTCTTCTCTCTGCCTCATGTCAGCTAGATCTGGATGACAAACATACATTATGGAGTACGCAAGCTGCGATAATCGTTGCTGGAATCAGATCAATCCTATCCATATCTAAAAACTTTAAACGTCGAAATCTTCCAAACAATAATGCAAATGAACGTTCAATCACTTGTCTCGCTTTTGAATGTGCTGTGTTGAAATCAGTTTGTCATTTGGCCAAACTACCTCTATCAATGTACGGAGGTACACACCAAGTGTGTATGGGATAAGCTTTATCACTAATTATAAATTTGTTGCCTTCGAAATATTTATTTGGATGTTCCAAGAACTTTGCATATCTGAATTTCTAAAAATTCTCACGTCGGAGACTGAGCTTGGATAGCCTGTAAAACAATCAGTAAATATCCTGGAATTATCGCAGATGCATTGAAGAGTAAAACCATAGAAGCATTTGCGGTTTATATAAACTTCTGGATTTTCCATGGGTACTTTAATTGGTACATATGCACATACCATCGATAGCTCCTATTAGCCCTTTAATATGTATCATACGATAGAATTTGTCCTCGTTTTGAACAGCTCTATCTCCAAAAGGCCAAGTTATTAAACGAGGAGCCAAGCGATTTATGACTCTAATTACCTTGACAAAAGTAACGAAAACGCTAGATTTTCCCATATCAAAACGATTGCCAACCGATCTGAAATAAGTAAAAGAAACAACACAATATGAAAAAAAATCAAGATACATATATATACCTATATATATATATATATACATATACAGGATGTCCCATTTTAATGTCCCACCCCAAATAACTTTTTTATTTTTGATCTTAGAAAAAAATGTTTCAGACAAAAGTTGTATGGCTTTGAGGGGGACATAAGATGATAATATTGGTTTGACTCTGAGTGGCGTCATCAAGGTTAGGACAAGATCACTTTGAATTTTTTAAATGGAATCCTTCATTTTTCGTTGCATATTCTTGTAGTTTACTTCGAGAGCTTTCCAAAACACATAAATAAAATGTTTTTTGGTTAAGTAAATGTTGAGTTATAAAGCTTGAAAGTTATGGTACCACCGGCATTAGCATTATCCAAAGTGTCCGAACAATGGCTGAAATCTTTCGAATGTTGTTCAGGATCGTGAGCTTGACAACATGTGTCAAAATCATGATTATTGGAAAATGTTTCTCTTTTTTTTCAAAAAATAAAAATAATTTTCAAAATAAGAGAAACTAAGAGAAACAATCTCCAATGATCATGGCCTTGACACATATTATCAAGCTCATGATCCTGAACAACATTTAAAAGGTTTCAGCCATTTTTCGGACACCTTAGATAATGCTAATGGTACCAGTGGTACTGTAACTTTCAAGCTTTATAACTCGAGATTTACTTACAAGGGAACCTTGCGAAGTGTCAAATTCTGATTTTAATGAAACTTGGTACACTTTGAGGTCACATAAATAGATGAATTTAGAAATTAGCAGTTGATGCTAAAAAACGGTATAAAGGGATGAAACCACCCTTATATGTAAATTAATTTTTTTTCCTTTTGTTATATCTCGAAAACTATTCAAGATATCAAAAAATGTTTTATACAAAAGTTTTACTGTAAAATTACCTCTATTCATTTACGTTAATAGAATTTTTTTTA